GTCTTCTGCCTATAACTGATTGGAATACCTAAAATGGGGCTACAAAGTGCCCAGGAAAGGAGGCTTCCTGTGGAGCCTTTGCAATACATAAGACTATAGGTAGAAGCCTGAACCACATCCAGATCTCCAGAGATGGGAAATTCCCACTTGAAAGGACGAGCAAACCAGCCTGGAGCAGCTAGAACAGAATATACTTCTTGAAAGAAAGACCTACAGGAAAAATACAAAACAATAGAGGCCAATGGACTGTTACTACAAGAACAAACAAATTGCTTGCCCGGGAAACATCAAGACAAGTGATTGGGTCCCCTTAATGCAAACCCCCTTCCAAGACTAAGACTCAATGGAAATACGAGCTCTGATTGGTGACCACACGCATCGCCGATAGGGGGAAGTGGGGTAAAAGCAGCAATGAAGTGGCAAGCTAAGCCCTACAATGTTTGGTGGGCTTCTGTGGACCCAGATGGGGACCTGGTTGGCCAGCAGTATGGGGAGACCTGGGGACTCCTGGACCCAGAGTTAGCGGCGTGGCCACAGAGAACTAGAGTGGAGAGTGAAGCTACCAGCTGATAGGAAGAGAGGGCATACACACAAGAACACCCACACTTGCAGATAGTACCCATGTGACCTGGCCCCGATGAATGGATGATAAGAACTCAACCAGGAGAAGAAAGAAGAGGGGGGAAAAAAAAAAGAGTGATCTGATACAATTTGATGAACTTGACCTACACCTATGGATGCTGTAACCCAAAAGAGGGAACAAATCCTTATAGCAAGAAACATTCCCACCCCCTACACATACAGAGTAGACAGAGATGGGCAACTTGGACATTAGATACCCAAATGGGGGCGGGGAGGGAACTACAAAGGCAAGAAGTGACTGGCTTACAAGCTTTCAAGAGGGAACCTAGACCCAGGGGGCATGGAGGAAGGCAGAATCTCCAGTGAGTACTATCCAATCTGTCTAGGCGGAGCTGATGAAATGAAATGCAAAAGAGTCACTTATGATACAATAGTGAATGATTGTTATCAGGACTGATTGTGAGGGTTGGAAATGTAAAGGTAGAGTTTTGTAGCAAGGAAGGGAGTGATTAACTCTCCAGTCTAGGAGCGGAGGTCTCTAGGACCATCAATGGAGAAGAGCTCAGTGGGACCCTACCCAGAGAAGCAGCGAGGCCCGAGATAAGAGGCAGAGACGATGACGTGGAGTGATGAAGCGGCTGGGGACTTTGGATCCAGAGAGGGAGAGGGACTGTGTGCTGAAGAATGGGGGGGGGGGGGTGGGGGGGGGAGTGTAGGGGGCGGGTTTATAGGGTATACCCTTTGGTCGGTTAATGATGCATGGAGGGGATTGGAACCATGGCAATGAAACGATATACGGTGGAATGAATGTAAAACTAAAGTTCTCTCACGTAAAATATCATATAATTCATAATAAAACATGAAAAAAAAAAGTTGTACTGAAACTTCCAGCTCCAGGATAGACATGTTATCTCCAGTGACAGAGAGGGTAATAATATACAAGAGAGAGAATGAAAATATCAGTTGTCTTCACTTTCCTTTTCATGCTTATCTCTTTTAGTTGGATTAATTTTGTTTAGAATTATTTGAGAATGTGAATATATTATTACATTAACAACCACAGATTTTCATTACAATCACTAGAAACTATGATGGAAATAATGAACATAATTTATAGTGAAATTATTAGTAATGCTGAAATGTTCCCCTACATTATGATTTCCTATTAGAACATAGAATAACTGGTTGGCAGAAGAAAGATAAAGACAAGTGAAGACACAGAGAGGAATGGAAGGGCTAAAGGGGAGAGAGGTAAATTCTGTTATACATACAACCCTGCAACACCAGCGTTCTGTGGGTAGATCCATGGACAGATATACAACCTTCACAGGTATGGGAGGGAGAGTAGGAGTATACCCACAAATATATAAGGATTTGACAGAGGATATATATATACATGGCTATGAGTGGTAGAGCATACAGGGGACAAATAGATGAAAATGTCTTAGACATTACCAAACTTCTTGAGGAAACGAGTTGCTGGGCCTGATAGTCTCAGGGAACACTATGGTCAACTGGAATAATACAGTCCTCAAAGACAGTGTTCTCTGGGGGATCTTAAAAGCTCATGAGCAGTCATCTAAGCTGTAATCTTGGTTTCTCCAGGTGCAGAAGAAAGAAGAATGATGGTAATTTGAAGATATGTGGAATCAATTAGACCAACGGACTAACAGAACATGTGTACATCAGTCTCCAGACTCTGAAACCAAAGGAACTAGATTATGCTCAGCTAACACTACCAACTGCTCTGTAAGGAATCACTTTAGAAGGTTCTGGGACGAGTGGGAGAAAATGGGGAACAAAACTCAAAATTATAAATAATAAAAAAAAAAGACCGGGCTTACTGGTCAGACAGAGACTGGAGGAACCTCAGACTACAGCAATTAGATACGCTTCATGTCTGGAAAGAAATGCATCCTTGTGGCCCAATTTCCAGCCAAGCGGCAGATGCGTATTTAAAGGGGATAAAAACACTAGTGATGGATGTTCACCATGGTCAACCATTCAAGATCAAAAGGTTGAGATGGTTGGGGAAAGATGGTGAACTGAAAATAAGAACCACAGGAAGTGGGATAACTGTTATTACATGGAGGGAATTGAGATCAAACTAAGTGATTTGTTGAATGTAAAACTGATGATCTGCTGGATAAACCTTCACTCAATTTACAATAAACGTTTCAAACAAACACTTGTAGTGAAAATTAAATGAGTTACTAAAAATGTTTAGAACAGTGCCTACCAAAAGCACTATATGTTATTATTTATCTGTAATTTTAAAAACCTAATAAATGTCAAAAACTTGGTGCAGAAGGATGAAGACTCAACTATATTAGTAAGAGGTACTTCTGTGATACCCAATTAATATAGATTTTAAACAACAGAGAAACAAAGATGACAAGTAATTTAAGAACCATATTAGATTTATTTTATTCCTCTATTTCAAAATCATCCTTTTACTTTGGAGGGGAAAAAAGCATTCTCATTCTAAATGAGATTCTAAAACAAGTCACATGAGATTACTTAGTTTTTATGAAATGAAATTTGAACAGAGGGAGCAATTTATTTCTTCAGTTAGTTGAACGACTAGAGGAAAAAGCACAGAAGTACGTCTGGCTCAGGAGGGAAGAAAATGAGATTATTCTTGATCATAAAAAGTGTATAGTAACAAGCTTATTATGGAATACAGATTCTAATCAGAACATTGCAGGCAACTAATGCTATAATCTTGGGATTCCCTCAATTTCAAAAGGGAAAGGTTCTTTCAATTCTAACATTCCAAGATCTATTTTAAATTGCCTTTATTCCTGCATCTAAAAGGTTAAAAGAGTCATCCAACCAGTAATGCACCTGAAATATGATATTCTTGGTGGTCCTAGGTAGGTATCAGGATTTCTAGATATAATAGACAAGAGAAAGTAGGATTCCTGCTAAATGCATATTTAATATAAGAAAAAATAATTGGCAAATCTAACTATACCCTCCACAATAACTTAAGTATTTTAAGTTTACAAGACACTCTTATTAACAAGAAATAAATTCAGTCCATAGCTACATATTTTATCACTTACCTGTGATCTGGCCACATTGCTACATGATTATAAAGGTAATATGAAAGATGATTTGGAACAAGATCCTTGCCAGAGACTCGAAGATCCACAGGATACCAGAATTCAAACTCCTGCTTTAACTGATCTAATTTTTCCTTTGGGATCAGAGTCTTAGGAAATGGAGCTTCCTTGAAGAAAACATAATCCCAAACTTCCTTAGTCATCTGTTGGGGTCTGTATTAAAAATTAAACAAATAAAAATATAGAATTTTGTTGAAAGAGTCAGTGTTTTCATCTAGCCATGAATTAGGAATCTTTTCTTAGCATAGCTGTGATAACAAATAAGGACAACTGTCTCTCATAAGAATGAAGTAGAACGAATGACAATAATAGAAGTCACTACCTATTAATTTGTCAAAGTTCAATGCTAAAAATGCCAAATCATGACAAAATTCAGCTAAATGAACTCTTATGAAAATTAAATATAAAAAGGGGACATTTCAAGATGCAAATCAAAAGATCAAAACTCTTGCTAACAAATGATGACCCTTTCATCAACCTAATTTACCAACCTGATGCCCAGTGGAGACTCTCCCTGTCCACGCAAGTTACCGCCCTGCAAGAGGTGTGCCACTGTGTAAAACGCCATGTAAATAGTGGAATCCGAAAGTGATTCAATCAGCCACTGCTCATCCCAAGGCAGACGAGTGCCTGCAAAATAAAGAGAAGAAAAAATACGCATGAGAAACATAACACATTTCATCCTTAGAATCCAAATGTTCTACAATAGGGCCAAAACAGTTAGAAAGCATTTACTTAGGAAGGTCTTAAATTCTACTTCAATTGCTAATAAAAACAAGCTAGTAAAGTATCTCAGCATCTTCCTATAAAAAATAGTCACACCATAAAGGCTACATGGATCAGAAGAAAAGACATAGTCCCCCAAGTAGGCACCACATTCTAGTTTCTCAAAGCCTCTAACTTCCAATTCAGAAACTTTAAGAGAGGAAAGAAAGATTAAATATGTAAAATTGACTAAATCATCCAAACAGAAAAATTTAAAGTCTACCTACCTAAACCATAAGTTCTCGAGCAAGCATGTTCTTGTAGCCAATCTAAGGTAGCTTCAAAATTTTTCCTGGTCTCCTCACAGAATCTACAGAGAGTAAAAGACAAAGCATCTCTCTTTACATTTACCATTTTCTGTGCCTCTCATCCCCTTTCCCTTCCCCCATCCCTTTGTCCCATCTTACGTTTCCAAGTTCTTCAAGCACTGGGATGTTTGCTTTTTCCAGCTCTCTTCTCCATAATCCAAGTACCTAAGAGTGAACAAATTGAATTTAAACATCACAGAGATGAACAAAGCAACTGAATCAAGTTTTCTCTTGCAATGCGAGAGACTAACCACTGGTCACACAGGGCCACGACACATTCATCTGAAGACCGGGACATCACTTGTTTCTCTGGTTCCATGTAAATGAAGGCATCTCCCTAAATGAAAGTAAATAAAAATGTACCTGATTTACATCATGTCAACCTCCATTCCTCAAAGATACCAAATTTTTTTTTTTTTAAATGTTATCACCAATAATCATAACCCCCACATTTCATTCTATGTGCTCTCTTTCTAGAAGTCATCTGACCTTCCTTCTATAGAAAACTTGCTTTTGAAAGGTACGTGTCTCCCCTAGCAAGAAATTAGTTCTGTTTGATGAAAAATTTCTGATCCTATGGTTTGAAGGTTAGACTTCTTATAGCAGTCTCTTAGCATCATTACACAAAGTCTTTTTTAAAATAAATTAATACGTGGATGCAATGCTTTAAAAAATATAAATAGATGCAGAAATAATCCAAGACTTAGGGATCAGTGTCACAAGATAGCTTTGTGGAGGAAAGGTAGGAAGTGGAGGGAAGGTGAGACTAAAAACAAAGAGGAATGACTGAAATATATTAAAGAAGCAACTGTGGAAACACAGATGTTCTAATCCCACACTATGCAGACAAGCAATCTTTCCTTCCTAGAGATGGCCAGAAAAGAGCTCTGGTAGCGAAGTGGTTACAAATTGGGCTGCGAACCTCAAGGTCAGCAGTTGGAAACTACCAGCTGTTCCGCAGGAGAAAGATGAAGCTTTCTGCTCCCATAAAGATTTACAGCCTCAGAAACCCCATATAGGGTCGCTATGAGCCAGAACTGACTCCATGGCACATAACAACAACAAACAGGGATGGCCAGACTTCATCTCTCATACTTCAGACATATTGTAAGGAGGGACCAGTCGCTGGAGAAGGATATTATGTTTGGTAAGGTGGAGGGTCAGAGAAAAAGAGGAAGACCCCCAGAAAGACAGATTGGCAGAGTGGCAGCATCAATGGGTTCAAGCATGGCAACAATTGTGAGCTTGGCCCAGGACCAGGCAGTGTTTCACTCTGTTGTGCATAGGGTCTCTATGAGTCAGTACTGGCTCGATGGCACCTAACAACAACAACAAGGCCAGCAGAACACAGAGGTTTATTCTCTGGAGTAGGTAAAAGAACGTTTCAGAACTGGCAGACAAAGATGAGGGTATGGATATCATAGTAAAAAGGGTGGGGCAGAGGTAGATCCCCACTGAATAGTTTTCATCTTGTCTAGATGGGACTGGTGAAAACAGAGGGGGATAAATTTTTTTTATTCAAAAGAGAGTAACAGATATCATGACTAATTGTGATTGCCACACTGTAAAGGTAGAAGTTGTATAATAAAAAGAGGGGAGTACTTAATCTTGCATTCCAGGAACAGAGGACCCTAGGACCATCTAGAGGGAAGAGTATGAATAGAACATGGAATCCTAACCAGAGAACAGAGACACCAGAGATGGAAGCAGAGGGTCACGTCATGGAGAAAGAGAGCAGCTGAGGACTCTAGACTCATGGAAAAAGAAAGGCTGTGTGCTGGCAGGCATGAAGCAAGCTTACAAAATGTGGCCTTTGGTTGTTTAAATGATTATATATTCCTGCATGTTTTTGTGTACATCAAAAAAAAAAAAAAAAAAAAACGAATAGAGGCAAATACTGTTAACCATTGGTGCATGGAGGGGATTGTATTATTCCATTGAAACAAAATACGATTGTTTGAGTGCAAAACCGATTTTCTACAGTGTAAACTATCACTTAATTCATAATAAAAGCTTTAAAGAAAAGAAAGAATAAGAAGCAAATAGGGAAAATAAATTTGTGAGCTCTAGGAAAATAAAAAAGCTAGAGAAGAAAATTATCATTTAAAAAAAATCATAAACATACATATATCAGCATGTCTTAGAAATGTTAAGTAATGACTAATGCTCTAACGTAAACAATAATATACTATATTAGGGACATGGGACTGGGATGTGTGTAAGAATGTCTGAAGTAAGAAAGGAAGACAGGTCTGGGAGGGAGACTTAGATCTTCATCTTTCACAGTAGGCATGGCTGATGTCTCAAACTGAAGGAAAACACAGTAAAAAAAAATGGACTACAAGCATTCATGTTAGTATTTGTCAGAAAGATGGTGGTCAACAATAAAAGAAACAACTAAAATACTTGTAAACAGTCTCTTCCAAGGAAGAAAAATTTAATATTATAAAATGAATAAAGATACTAGATTTTTCGGTTTGTTAGTTTTTTTTTTTTAAGGAATCTTATAGAACCGTTGTTTCTCTACATTTGGGAATGTTAAAAGGCTAAAAATAAAAATTTAATTTAAATAGCTAAATACTTGTAGAAGCAATAACAAAATCAGAGGGGTGGGGGGAAGAATGATAGAAAAAGTAAAGCACCACACTTTAAAAATGTCCAATGCCAGGAAACATCATTAAAGCTGTCACCTTTACCACACTACATTCACATCAACATTAAAGGTGAGACATTCAAGTCAAATGAATTGCTAATTTAGACTTCTATTCTCCACCACAAAATTATATATTTGATATACTTCCAGGTTCTCTTATAGAACTCACTGCTAATAACACACTGTAGTCTATTAACTAAAACTCTAAACCTAAAGCAGCATTCAGAGGACAGACAGCCTATCACATACAGAGTCAATCATCTTTTTCTGAATAGTCTTCTTGACATCTTGGACCTTCTGGCCTTTAAAGCCATCCACCAACATTACCTACAAGGACAAAAGGCAGAGGGAAAAACACATAAAAAAATAATTAAAATGTGCTTTCAGTATACCCCCAAATTTTATCTAACTAAAATTTACTTCCACTCACCCATCCAAGATATTTTTGGTGTGAAATCTATCACATTGTTGTTGTTAAGTGCTGTTGAGTCATAGTAGCCCTGTACAGGGTTTCTAGGAGTGGCTGGTGAGTTTGACACCAAACCTTGAGGTTCAAATTGACCTTAAGGTTGAGAGTTCATCATCCTAAGGCGCCACGCCAGGACTCTACAAGAAGTTTGAACAACTAATACACATAATACATCTGCCTTTATTTAGTTATATCTGGGAAAGCTATCATAAGCATAGGACTCTTGGTGTGGTGCTGTAGGATCAGCACTGGACTGCGAACCACAAAGTTGGCAGTTCAAATCCACAGCTGCTCCTTGAGCCGCCAACCTTGCGGTTCAAACTGACCTTGCAGTCTAGCACATTAACCTGCAGAGCCACACCAAGACTCCTTGTTGAGGTATAAATTTGGCCCCTAGGGTTGACATTGTTAAACTCTCCTTTTATTGAGTGGGCAATTTAACAACAAGCAACAGTTTTGCCCATGGTTGCCACAGATCTAAACCACAATCTCCTTCCAGCTTTTTTAGGTAAGAAGGTTGATGCTTTGGTCTCCATCTATCTGAATTTGTGTCTTTCTCAAACAGCTCCTATCTTTAGTGAAAAAGACATATGTTCTTTTCCAACCCTCCAATCCTTTAACACACCAAAATGTTTCACACCCACTTTACCCACTGCCATCGAGTTGATTGCAACTCACAGCAATCCTAAATATGTTTCACACCATCTACTTATTTAGCAGTTATGAATTGTATTTGTTAATCATTATGATGTAATGATTAAGAACACAAATCCTGAAGCCATTGAATTTATACTTGAATCTTAGTTCTACCACTCATAATCTGGCTAATTTTAGCTAAATTACTTAATTATCTCTTCTTGCTTCAATTTTCTGTATGTAAAAGGGAATAATAGCATCTAATTCAATGGGATATTTTAAGAATTAAATAAGTTAATATAAAAGTGTTAGCTTTATTATCACTCAAAATGTATGTTACTTTCAAAAAAAAGAAAAACGAAAGACACAAAATCAGTTCTTGGTGACTGAAAAAAATGAGCGTAAAGGTAAAACATCAAGAGCATTCTCATATAAGTCTTTAAAATTTTACAATTTAGTCTCACATCATTCAGAATGTGGTTGGACTTTAACTTTATGCAGACTGGTTTTCTTTCTATGGAAATATAATCCATATTACCATATGTATAATAAAGCAGAAGAAAGAAGTTGGAACCATATTTATTTTGCTCACATGGCTGCTACTCGAAAGGCCAGCTCTTCTATCCAGCAGTTCCCCTACAGGAGAAAGACACAGCAGTCTGCTTCTATAAAGTTTTCAGCTTCGGACACCCTACTGGATCCTACAGGGTCTCTCTGAGTCACCATCAACTCAATGGTAATAGGGCTTTTTGTTAACAAGTAAATTAATGTACTAAATAAAACTGCTTATCTAAAATAATTGTTTTTAAGTGCCATCGAGTTGTTTCCAATTCATAATGACCCAGTATAGGGTTTCCAAGGAGTGACTGGTGGGTTTGAGCCACCAACCATGCAGTCCAGTGCTTACCCTAAAGCGCCACACCAGAACTCCTCAACTAAAATATGAATATCTTAATTACGAGACAAAAAAAGGGACCAGGCATTCTTCATGCAATAAACCTTTGCAGTTCATTGTGTAACAATATGAATCAACTTTAAATAACTTCAAAGAAATTCATTCCTTAGATATTCATTGAGGGCACAAATGCAAATTCTGTAAATGCTTTTACACAAAAGACATGAATTTAAAAACATAAATTTATAAACAGAACACACTCAATCCTGTATTGGTAGTTGTGTGCTATCAAGTCGGTCCCTACTCGTAGTGACCCTGTGTAGGGTTTTCGAAACTATAAATCTTTGCACAAGCAGAAAGCCTCATCTTTCTCCCACAGAGCAGCTTGTGGATTAGAACTGCTGACCTTGTAGTTAGCAGCCCAACATGTAACCCACTATGCCACCAGAGCTTCTTCCAATCCTAAATATTAACTGCTCTCAAATAAACATATAAAATTATATTGAAATTTTCCATATTTATTCTAAACCATTTAAAAATGTCACAAATCATGGCCTAAATCAAATGAAAGCAATCAAAATGACTACTTACACCATCATAAAATCCTTTTAGGTACAACTTCTCCTTTGCTTCTACCAGCTTTTCTCGGTCATTCTGGCTCTGAATTTTCAACTCATCACAAATGGTTACAGCAGATAGATTTCCGAAACCTGGGATCTCAATGATTGGTACCTGCAGAAAGCCGCGATGTCAGAAACTTGTTCACAATGAATGAGCACCAAAACAGACCAAAGAAGCTTAGTGCTTTAGCCTTTACCATCCAATAAAATCAGTTCAGACTTATTTATCATTCCAGCAATGCCACATACTACATAACTAAAGGTGACTAGCTTCCAGATGTGAATTTGTCTTCATCCTCCCTCCCCATTGTAGCCACCTGAATTCTATGCACATGTGAACAGGCCCCAGTATCCCTCCTCTACCACATACCACACACATCTTCCCCAGCTCTCAGCCCTCCACCATTGGACTATCAAAATGCTGTAAACAATTAGCTACAGACAATGGTCTTGGTGTTGGCTTATAATAAGTCTTCTGCATTCGTCATGAAAGTTCTATGCTAGTAATTTATTCTTTTCCCCTCTGTAGGAACTAATGTAAAAATGTAAGAAACATAAAGCAGAAGTGTTAGGGATTTTGTTAAAAATTATTTTGGTAGAAAACAAACATTCATGAATAATATGGTAATATTTTGTCTTTAGAAACTAGGAAAGACGCCAAATTAGTAAAATAAGCTACTGCAAAATTAGTAATGCTAAAAATGCTTTTTGTTCTAGAATTGCAGGTGCCAGGTGCTAAGAAAATGCTTATAGTTAGTTTTACTCCTGCTTTTACTGCCAGGCTGTTGTTGTTGTTAAGCATCAATGAGTTGGCTCCGACTCATAGCAACCCTGTACAAAGTTTCTGACGAGCGGCTGGTGGGCTTGAACCACAGGAGATGTCAAACTGGAATAGGTAATTCTTAAGCAAACTGCCTCTCCTATTTTTAATTTTGCTATAAGGAAAACACATTAGCTCCTTTTATCTGATAAAGACATATATATAACTATTCTGTGTTATCTATGCACTCACCGGTTCAAATGGCAAGACCATGTCATCTCTAATTCCATACTTTGCTCTTAAGGCCTAAAAAAAAAAAATTGACATGTTTTAGCACTAATAATCAATACTCAATTGTATAATCATCAAGAAAAGCAGATTTACAAACTCTTCTTACGCTGTCATTTGTTCTGCATTCCATAGAGAATAATTTTTTTTAACATTATCAAATACCTTAAGAGGGAATCTATGATTTTTAGAAACTCAGTAATTTAAACTATAGTGACTGACTTAAACAATAGCGGGGATGCCAAAGAAAAAGTTCATCTTAAAATAAGGCCCATATTCTAGTTTGCATTAAAAGTGAGAATGTCAGAAAATTTTTTCCAAAAGGTTTATGAAATATATTCAAAATACAAAAGGCTCAAAAATCAAAAAGTTGGTTCTATGTAGTAGTTTAAAGACAAAGGCATGGCTTTTTAGCTTACTTCCACCATGTAGGTCAGTGATACATAACCAATAAAGTGATGAACAGAAAATAAGAATAAAAAACTCAAATACCCACTTGCTTTTTCTTCAAGTCTCTAAGAGCAGTAATATCATCGGGAGAGTCAGAAGGAACACTTGTGACCACACCAGTGCCTTAAAAAAAGAAAGTGTGTCATTAATTAACACAACCATAATTTGCTTACCTAAGTATTTCTAGAAGGAAATTTGTAGAAAGAAATCAACTCTTTACCTTTATCCTCCTTAATAGTGAGCATTGGGAGGACATAGACCACCTTATAGGATGTTAAAGGTGCAGAAAGGGATGCCCCAAGAACTTCCTGCATAAGAAAAGATCAACATATAAAGAAACCTAGTTTTTAACCATTAAAATTTAAAACAATGTTTGTGTTTTTAAGCCCTAATAAGCTAATAATAAAAAATAAATGAATTAAAACCAAACCATAACTCTAGATCTACTAGAACAAAAAATAATTTTAAATGATTATAATACCCAAATCTGGCAAAGTTATTATGAATTAGCACATTAACGCATTGCTTGTGACACTATAATCCTTGAGAAAAACAATATTAAGAATCCGTAGCAAGAACCACAAAAATGTACACACAGCTCAGAACCAGCAATGCAATACCAATGTATCTCAAAGTCAAAAAAATATATATGCATTTTTTCTTTGAAAACTCTGTTCATTACTGTGTTACTATACTAGCAAAACCTGGAAATAACTAAAACTTACAATAACAGAAAATGATTTAGTATAATATACTTCATCAGCAAGAATAGAATAATACTATATAGCTATTTTAAATTGTAATTATGAAGACTAGATAGAAAGATCTGAAAATACTGCACCCACATTCTCATAAGGCAACAAACAGCTGCTTGCCTGCTTTAGCTAAAGAATAATTCAATTCCACACAGTTCCTGCCCATTCTACTTTGTTTATCTTTATAAACAACATTTCAAGGAGCTCTGGTAGCGTAGTGGTTACGAATCGGGCTGCTAACCTCACAGTGAGCAGTTCGAAACTACCAGCTATTCTGAAGGAGAAAGATGAGGCTTTCTGCTCCCATAAAGATTTATAGCCTTGGAAACCCTGTACAGGGTCACTACGAGTTGGAACTGACTCCACAGCACATAACAACAACAAAAAAAAAAACATTTCTGGAATTTACAATCATATGAATCCGGGTAAGTATTATAATAATCTTAAAGACCAAAAGCAATTTAAACCATCCATCTTCCTTACTCCAGAATTTGCTTAGAATAACATGTAGAAAAACTGCATTAAAAGTAGAAAATACTGTTCATTAATACTGTTCCTAGGTTCCTGGTGTGACACTATAGGATAAGCACTGACCTGCTAATTGCAAGGTCAGCGGTTCAAACCCATCAATCGCTCCTAGGAAACCCTATACAAGGTCACTATGAGTTGGAACTGACTCGATGGCACTTAACAAACAATACTGTTACCAAAACTTCTCAGCTACAGCTCTAACAGCAAGAACTAACAGCATGTACCAGCACTGCTTACAACAGAAAAAGATAGGAAATGATTCAAATATCATTAATAGAGGATGGTTAAGTAAGTTCTGCTACATCCACTCAATGGAATATTATGTTGCTGTTAAAATAAGAATGCGGGAAGCATTTTATGTACTGATAAAGTAATTTATAAAAGACATAGGTTAAAAAAAATAGGCACATCATGTTCATTACAGCATTATTCACTATAGCAAAAAGACTGATATGACCTAAGCGACAATCAATGGATGAATAAACAGACTGTGGTACATAACATACAGTGGAGTACTCTGCAATGATAGAGAACAATGATGAATCTGTAAAACATCTCCTAATGAATGAATTGAGAGAACATTATTCTGACTGAACTTGTCAATCACAAAAGGACAAATATTATATAAACCACTGTAATAAAGTCTAGAGTATGTTTACACACAGAAAGAAAACATTCTTTGGTTACCAGGGGTAGAAGGGAGAGGGAGGGAGGGAAAATCACTAACTAGATGTTACAGTGTTAATTATGGTGAAGGGAAATATAGAGGAAGCCAGCATAACATGACCAAGGCACAGGAAGACATGGAAAGGTACACAAGAATAAACAACAACTACAGTAAATGCTATAACATATACAATCCAACAACAGTAATTATTGTTGCTAAATGCCATCGAATCAGTTCTGACTCACAGTGGCCCTGTATAGGGTTTCCGAGGAGCTGATGGTAGGTTTGAACCACCAACCTTGTGGTTAGTAGTCCAGTGCTTATCCTACAGCACCACATCAGTATTAACAATGTAATTTGTGAGTAAATGTATAGGTAAATATGTATACTACACAGGTGAGAGAAACCATATGGGAATACATATGCATAAATGTGTATGTGTGTGGTTGAGGTTCTTTCTACACACAAATTTGTAAACGCAGCCATGTACGAGTATACTTACATATTAGCATATAGGAGGTACAGTTTGGGAAACTACTTAGATATTGGAACTAAACTACTGGACTTGAAGGCTAAAGGCCATAGACTCTGGGGGTATCTTGGTCAACTAGCAAAACCCAGTTCATAAAGACAATGTTCTACATCCTAGTGTGGTGAGCAGAATCTAGAATCTTAAAAGCTTGTGAATTGGTCTCTTCTTGCCTGGAAGACAGGCAAATAAAGGAAAATAAAAACTCAAGGAAGGGATTAGTCTGAATGATTAAAGGTCCACATGAACCACAGCCTCTTCCCTCTTCATGAGACTAGAAGAATTTAGATGGTGCCTAACTACCACCATTAACCACTCTGACCAGCAGTACAACAACAGGTTCTGGTTAGAACTGGTTAAAAAAAAAAAAAGGACAGGTCAAAATTCAAATTCTAGGAAAAAAATGATCAGACTTCTTGGTCTGAAGGAGGCTAGAGGAGCCCCCAGACTATCATTCTAAGACAACATTCTAAATTGAAATTGAAGCTAATCCCAGAGACCACCTTTCAACCACTTACTAGATGGACCTACAAAATAAGCAAACACACTGGAAGAAAGTGCTTGTTAGAAAAATCAACTATAGGAGACCAGAAGGGCAACATCTGCCCCAAATCAAAGATGAGAAGGCAGGAAGAGACAGGAAAACCAGACAAATGACACCAGGGAACCTGGAGAGGAAAATGGGAGAGCACTGACACATTGTAGGGACTGCAGCCAATGTCATGGAACAATCTGTGTCAAAATTATTGATTGGAAAAGTAATTTGCTTTGTAACTCACCTAAAGTACAATTAAATGTTCAAAATAAAGAAAGAAAGCAAAGTCCAGAACTACAGGTATAAACTATATTGCCATTTGTGTAAGAGAAGAGTGGAGAATACACAGGTGGCTTCAAAAAGTTCATAGAAAAACATCCATTACCTTATAATTCCCTCTTCCTGTCAACTTTTTGAAGTCCCCTCGTATATACAAGTGTTTGCTTGTGTATACATGAAACATTTCTGAAGGGATACATAAGACACTGATACTAATCCCTCTAGAAAGACAAGGAGTGACTAAAGGAAGGGAAAGAGAGAAACTTTGCACCATTAGGCCCTCTTGTAACTTTTTAATTTTGAAAGTTATGAATGCATTACAAAATAAATAGAACACAAAAAAGGAATTGAGATGGTGCTCAATTCATGTTTTGCTTTTAAAAGGTTATTTATTAAGACAATAAGATCAGCAATTATTAATGGAAATAAAACACACTCAGAAATGATAATAGATAGACCATAAAGATAAAAGTACTGTCATTGCCCAGATTCCAAATTTAATTTTATGAACCAAAACTTTTTTTTCTCCCTAGAAAAAAACAGAAGCTGCATTTCACACCAGGAGTGAAGGTGATAGTGTTCAAAAGTAATGGAATGTCTAACGTAGCTATTAAATCTCATGGAGAAGACTGTCTGTTTCTCAATCAGATACTCACTGAGTTGAAATACAAAGTTTGCAAATGCTATCTTTGTGATATACAATGAATACTACATAGCAATCAATAAAAATGAACAAGTTAGTCTTACACACAACAACATGTATGAATCTCACACGACATAAAGTTGAGGAAAAGAAGTCACAGGCACAGGAGTGCATACTGAATAAGCCCATTAAATGAAGTTCAGAACAAGTAACTTTTGTGAGTGAAGTCAGAGTAGTGTTACTTTTAGAGGAAATGGGTGAGAACTGACTATGCAGGGATGTGAGGAAACCCTTCGGGCGAGCTGGAATGCTCTCTATCTTATCTGAGTGGTAGTTAGACAAATATTTACACATATGAAAATGCATTCAAACATACACTTTTGATTTGTACATTTCACTGTATGTATACTTCAATTTAAAATTTTCAAAAACTCTATTCTTCAGTAGCATTGAAATTTTTTTTTAGATTTATGAACTGAAATAAAATCTGCTACCCAACTTACCTCTCCCATTAATTCCTTAACAACAGGCACCACTCCATTGTCTTTAGTAAAGCCCTGGTATGACATATTCCTGGCAGCTCGTTGGGTACAAATGAATATATCACCAGTCACAGTTTCAAATCCAATGTACTTCATATCAGGGCGAACCCAACAGTTTGTCTGTCCAAACATGGTCTCAGGCCTGAGAGTAGCAGCTACCAAAAAGATATTCTTCCCTTTCAGGCCACTAAGAAGAAAGAAAGAAAGATTTGTGTTAAAAGTAAAATTGTAGACTATATCACAACTACCTGCCGGTTCAGAAAAGATTTCCAACTGCTTGTAACAAACCTACCTTAATTTGGATGGGTACGGCTCAAGCACTTTCATTTTGATTAAAGTATATTCCTGAGGTCCCACACCCTAAATAAATAAATAACAAAAAAAAAAACTGTGAAGACAAAAAATACTTGCACTAACCTACTAATGTATGTGAGTGATTTGATTCAAATTTCTAAAATGGGTTCTTACATTTGCAAAGGGTGACTTGGTAATCAGCCAAAATAGTACTTGCCTAAAGCCCCTGGCACAGTAAATCAGAGAGAGGACACAATCACCACCAATTCTGTCCCTGGGGGCAGGTCCCACAGAGCAGTCATCACAGACACACAACACTAGACCAGGAGTCATAGATGGTGTGCACTCTAAAACCACCGTGGCCACTTACAAAGAGACTGACCTAGGGAATACTGTCCTCCTCTGTAAAATACCAATGCTGTGTCTCACATATGGTTGTTCTGAAAATAGATAGGAAAATGCTTTGAGAAACTGCAAAGTATGAACAAAATTTGGGATTTTGCTACCACTGACTAAATTATAACTATACTGGGTCTTCTAAGTCTCCCAGATCTTTCAACAATTTGATCAACCTCATTTTTATCATATAAGTTATATCAAAATTGAATGCTGATTTTCAAAAGTTAACTATACTTAAATACTACACTACAAATATGTTCAAAGTTAGTAAAAAGAATGATATACTCATAGTAACTTTTAAGTTCAGATCCTGGCATTGACACTGATTTACTATGCCAAAGCTTTAGGCAAATTACTTACCTTTGCCTTCCTCAAATATTACTGGGAATAATGCTACTGATGTGAATTACTGAAATGTACAGTGAACTAATATCATACATGGCTAGAAGTAATTTGAAAATATACAAGTAGATATGTGAACAAAGCAAGTATAAATGGAATCTATATATAATAATAGTTAGCCACATCTCATTTATTACCTTTCCCCATGCTCTCTGCTCACTTTTTAGAGCAATATATCCTCCTGGTGTGGCACAGTAGGATAAACACTCAACCACAAGGATGGTTTGAACTATAAGGTTGGTGGTTCAAACTCACCAGCCGTTCCTTGGAAACCCTATACGGGGTCACTATGAGTCAGAACCGACTTGATGGCACTTAACAACAACAACAATCCTCCAGATGGTGTATCTCAAACTTCAGTATACAAACAAATCATACTGAGAGCTTGTTAAAAGACAAGGATTCCTCAACTTTATGCCTAGAACTTCTGATTCAGTGTTGGGGTGGGGCTCTAGAATTTGCTTTTCTACCAAGCTCTCTGGAGACACTGATGCAGCTGGTCCTTGGACCACTCTGGGGACAGCAAGGTCCTAGATGAGATGTAGGTACCTGTAATGATAGTGTGCCTCCCTCTTCATACCGACCAGAGAATCATTTACTTTATTAACTCAGCACTAGAATGGAGATAATTTTAGGTTTCTGATCTAGTTCTTAATGTCTGTGGCCATATTAAAGATTATTACAATAGCTTCCGTACGTCACAAGTAATTACCTCTCCAGTTTGTCTGTCATGATCCATACAAGGCTGTCCATCTTTTGGAGAATAAATGGTGTAACTTAAAAATAAAAAATAAGTAACTGACAAATATTGTTATTATGATAGTCACATTTTATTCTAACATATTTGCAAGTGTTACTCTTAACAGCTTACAAATATTTCTTCTAAAACTTCCAACTAAGCATATGTTTACATTTATCATCTATGCTTTTATGGGCAGCTCTATTGTCAACCTAGTTATTAAATGAATGCTTTCTGTCTTCATCAAAATCATATCACTGGAAAAATATGCAGTGATCATGGCTTTGTGGTATGAAGCAAAAGACTGTAAAATATAAATCCACTTATGAAATGCAAATAGCTTTTATTAAAGCCATGTGATGAAAATTCACAATTTATAAAAGTACAAACTAAAACACAACGATTCTTTTTCCTCTTGACTGAGAATACTGAATGAGATCTTTAGTCAGATCACAGAATCTGCCTGATTCTATCAATCTCAAACACCAAGCAGCTCAAAAAAAATGTAGACACTGCAAGAGGAAAAAGGGAAACAAAGGATGTAAGAGAACAAAAAGGGGGAGGGGAAATCATAGGAGAAAAGCCAACTGTAGAGCACTGAATTAGAATACAAGAATTACATGAATATTGCTTTATAATAAAGGACAAGCTCACCGCTTCCCAAATTTAATCTTGTTCCTTTCTCTTAGGGTTAAAAACTGCCACCTGACAAACGAATCATAGTAAGGGTTCACATCAGTGGTGATAAAAGAACGACGCCAGTCTACCTAGTAAAGAAAAAAGGAAAAGTCAATTTTTGAGAAATACATATAGTTTCTATGAATAATAATTCTTACATATCAATTTTTATATGTACTCTTCTGCTCTTTAGACTCCAATCTAAAAATATATCGACTATTAAAATAAAAACAAAACTGTTGCAACTCCACTTATTAAATATATAATCTTGAATTTATTGCATGAATTTGTGAATAATTAATATTTGTTTACATATTAGCAAAAAAAACATGGAAGAGTTTAAATAAATTAAGAAAGCTTTAATACTTAATAATAATATTGAATATTCAAGTTTAACATCGGTATAGTTCTATTCTTTGACTAAAATTCCTTTTTATTGGCTGATAATTTACTGGAATACATTTCAATGCAAAGAATATTAAAGTACTCCATTACTTATATCAAGGCCCATAAGGTTCTAATCCAACAGTAACAATACCCAGACATTAGTTGACTGCTGTTGTTTTTAAGTGCCATTAAGTCATTTCCAATTTATAGAGACCCTATATAGGGTTTCAGAGGAGTGGCTGCTGAGTTTGAACCACCAATCTTGTGGTTAGCAATCCAGTGCTTATCCTACAGTACCACACCAAGACACCTGTAAGTGAATCACAGGTGGAACATACTATTTGAAATTAAGAGTTGATCCAAATCGTATGTAATCACACAAATATACCTTCAAACCCATTCTCTTCAGATCCTGCACAGCCAGTGGCGGGAAATACTCAAGCCAATGCTCTGCGTCAGAAAAGTTTACAATCTCCTCATCAGACAGACCAAGGGATTTCATAATACTCCACTGGTACTTAGAAGATCCAGCTTTAGCAGTAGCTTTACTCTGGGAAGAAAAAAAAAACAAAACTCCATCAAAGAGCCAAAGATTTTTTTCCCAAAATGTATTTCAAGAAAGCACCTACCTTTATAGTCAAATCATTGTTTTTATTAAACTTTTTCTTGTGATTGCTAATTTAAATTTTTTATCCTCAATTCTCTATATAAGGGTTGTTGTTGTTAGGTGCCATCGAGTCAGTACCAACCCATAGTGACCTTATGAACAGTAGAACGAAACACTGCCCGTTCCTGGGACAACCTCACTACTGTTGCCACGCTTGAGTCCATTAATGCTGCCACTTGGCCAATCCATCTTGTTGGGGGTCTTCCTCTTTTTCTCTGATCTTCCACCTTACCAAACATGATATCCTTCTTCAGTGACTGATTCCCCTGATAATATGTCCAAACTATGAGAGATGAAGTTTGGTCATCTTGGCTCTTGGCCTTGAAGGAGCACTCTGGCTGCACTTCTTCCAAAATGGATCTACTGTTTTTTTTGGCAGCCCATGGCACTTTCAATATTCTCCTCTAACACCATAACTTAAAAGCATCAATTCTTCTACGGTCTTCCTTATTCAGTCCAGCTTTTGCATGCATATGAGGTTATTGAAAATACCATGGCTTGGGTCAGGCGCATCTTAGTCCTCAAGCTGACATCTTTGCTCTTCAACACTTTAAAAAGATCTTGTGCAGTAGATTTGCTTAATGCCTGATTTCCTTTTTTTTTTTTTTAAGTTTTATTGTGAATTATATGATAGTTTACATGGGAGAACATTAGTTTTATATTTATTCTATCATATATCGTTTCATTGCCATGGTTCCAATCCCCTCCATGCATTATCAACCAATCAAAGGGTATACCCTGCAAGCCTACCCCTACACTACCCCCCCCCGTCCCAGTCTTCAGCACACAGTCACTTTCCGTCTCTGGATCTAAAGTTCTCAGCTGCTCCATCACTCCACGTCATCGTCTCTGCCTCCATCTCAGGGATCGCTGCTTCTCTGGGTAGGGTCCTGCTCTCAGCTCTTCTCCGTTGATGGTCCTAGGGACCTCCGATCCTAGACTGGAATGTTAATCACTCCCTTCCTTGCTATAAAACGTCTACCTTTACGTTTCCAACCCTCACAATCAGCCCTAATAACAATTATTCACTACTAATGCCTGAATTCTTGACTGCTGCTTTGGTGAGTGTTGATAGTTGATCCAAGAAGAATGAAGTCCTTGAAAACTTCAATCTTTTCTCCATTGATAAGAATGTTGTTCATTGGTCCACTGGTGAGGATTTTTGTTTTATTGAGATGCAACCCATACCGAAGGCTGTGTTCTTTAATCTAAATGTTTTAAGTCCTCTTCACTTTCAGCAAGCAAGGTTGTATCATCTACATATCGCAGGTTGTTAATGAGTCTTCCTACAATCCTGATGCCACATTTTCCTTCATAGAACTGAATTTCTTGGATTATTTCAACATACAGGTTGAATAAGTATAGTGAAAGGATACAACCTTGTTGCACACCTTTCTTAATTTTAAACCATTCAGTGTTCCCATGTTCTGTTCGAACAACTGCCTCTTGGTCCAGGTACAGATTCCTCCTGAGCACAATTAAGTGTTCAGGAATACTCATACTTCGCAATGTTGTCCATAGTTTGTCATGATCTACACAATCGAAAGCCTTTGCATAATCAATAAAGCACAGGTAAACATCTTTCTGATATTCTCTGCTTTCAGCCAAGATCCACTGGACATCAGCAATGATATCCCTCGTTCCACGGTCTCTTCTGAATCTGGCTTGAACATCTGGAAGTTCTCTGTGAATGTATGCTTGCAGCCGTTTTTGTATTACCTTTAGTAGAACTTTACTCGCATGGGATATCAAAGAGATTGTCCGATGATTTCTGCATTCCATTGGGTCACCTCTCTTTGGAATGAGCACAAATATGGTTCTCTTCCAATCAGTCTTCCAAATTTCTTGGCAGAGATGAATGAGTGCCTCCTGTGCCACCTCACTTTCTTGAAAGATTTCAATTTTGATTCCATCAATTCCTGGTGCCTTGTTCTTTGCCAATTCCTTCAATGCCCCTTGGGTTTCCTCTTTCAGTATCATAAGGGTAGAATGTAACTAAACCATCAGTTTTGCAAAAACTACATCTGATCAATAATCTCACCCTAACACATTATTATTAATCTAATAGATGTTTGAAAGAGGAAGTTGCTTTGATTTTTTTCTTTTTTCCAAAGCACTAACCAAAAAAATGCTCATCACAGATTATCTATCAGTGGTTGCGAATCGAGCTGCTAACCTCAGTGACAGCAGTTCGAAACTACCAGCTGTTCTGTGGGAGAAAGATGAGGCTTTCTGTTCCTGTAAAGATTTATAGCCTCAGAAACCCTATGCAGGGTTGCTATGAGTCAGAAACAACTCCACAGCACATAACAACAACATATACCAAGCAATAACTATCTAAAACATAAAAATATCAAATATCCAAATATATTGTTTATAGAACTATTTCATAGCATCAGAATCACCTGCAAAGCTTTCTACTTAATAATTTTATCTGATTATTAAAATATAGTACAAGCATATGGCATAAAATTTTAAAGAGTCAAAAACATTGCTGTTGTTGTTAAGTGCAGTCAAGTTAATTTCAATTCACAGCAACCCTGTACAGGGTTTCTGAGGAACAGCTGGTGGGTTTGAACTTTCCACCTTATGGTTCAAAGTGACCTTACAGTCCAGTGCATTATTCTGCAACATCACACCATGACTCAATCAAAAATGTCTATCTAGCCAAAATAACTACACTGAAAAGCATAGGAAAGAAAGATCTGATCTAAGTAACTTTAGTTACTTTCGTTTTGTTTTCTAGAGGAAAGCTACTGCTAAAGCTGGATCTTCATTAGATACTAAAGACAAAAAGTACTATACACACTGTACTTCAGTTGGTAAAACTGTTTCTCCCAGGGTTGATTGTTGTTGTTATTAGGTGTTGTCAAGTTGGTTCTGAATCGTAATGACCCCAAGCACAACAGAACTAACAACTGCCCAGTCCTGTGCCATCCTCACAATTGTTATGCTTGAGCTCACTGCTGCTGCCACCCTCTCACTGAGGGTCTTCCTCTTTTTCACTGACCCTCCACCTTATCAAGCATGATGTCCTTCTCCAGAGACTGTTGCTTCCTGATTACATGTCCAAAGTATGAGAGATGAAATCTCCCCATCCTGGCTTCTAAGGAACATCTGGCAGTACTTCTTATGATACATATTTGTTATTCTTCTGGCAATCCATGGTATTTTTAATATTCTTCTCCAACACCATCCATGACTCAAATGTGTCAATTCTTCTATGGTCTTCCATATTCAATGTCCAATTTTCACATACATATGAGGCTACTAAAATATCATGGCTTGGGTCAGGCACACCTTATTCCTTAAACTGACATCTTTGCTCTTGAACACACTAAAGAGGTCTTGTGCAGCAGATTTGCCCAATGCAATACATCATTGCTTCCAAGAGTATAGAAAATGGATCCAAGCAAAATGTAGTCTTTCAATCTGCAGTTCAATAAATAGTATTGTATTAAGGTTAATTTCTTAGTTTTGATGATTATTCCATGGTTAAGATGTTAAGATAAAGATCTGCCAGTCTGTTTTTGTCAAGATTTATAGCCTCAGAAATCCTATGAGGCAGTTCTACCCTGTCATATTGTTTTGTTAAGTGCCATTGAGTCTGTTCCAACTCACAGCAAGCCTGTATAGGGTTTCCAAGGAGCAGTTAGTGGGTTTGAACCTGTGGCTCTTTTGGTTAGGAGTCCAGTGCTATAGCGTCACTGTAAGATGGAACTGACATCACAGCCACAAATGTGGCTTTTTTTTTTTTTTTTAATGTAACATCAGGGAAAATGAGTGAAGATTATATGGAAATTATCTATCTTGCAACTCTTCTGTAAATAAAAATTATTTCAAAATAAAGTAAAAAGAAAAAAAAATCAGAAATTGATAAATAAAATGTTTTTGCTTTGATACTTTTTACAACTTACCAAGTGCCTTTTATGTGACAGGCATCACGCTAGTGCTGGGAATGCACATGTAAATCAGACAAAAACAAACAAAATTTCAACATAAAATCAGCAATCACCATACCTTTTTTCCTTTAGCTTTATCTTTAATTACTACATCTTCTGTTTTAACACTGGTATCTTCTTCTTCCTCTTCTTCATCTGGAAATTCAGGGGGACAACCATACAGCTCTATTTCTCTTTTCAACTTATCAGCACATGCCTGTAATACAATATTAGAGACAGTGAAGTTCAAAATTAGAGACAGAAACAAATGAACTTCTTGTTATTTCTATGGTCAACTAAAATTGATGTGAATTTTGTTTGGAGCATGTTTATACATATGTGGATCACTGTAACACCTTAAATAATGTACATTTTTTTTTCAAAATTCACTATTTTATACATTAGTGACTAATATACATAACTTTACCTTATTTACTCAGCAAACTCAACACACAGAATACTCAATGTAATATACTGCAATATTAGACATTAGTAGAAGTGCAAAGGTATGCAAGCACAACTTCTCATCATTTTGAATAGCGAAATTAAAAATAATACATCTTAATTTAAAGGTTACTATCACATGTACTCTATCAGTTACTATCATAAGCCTGCTAGGCAGAAAGGACAGACAAAAAGTTAAAAAACAGACAAGGAGAAATGAAGTGATTTAGCCAAGATTATCAAGTTAGTAAGCTGCAGAACTACATGAACTTGGCCTTTCCAACTCAACTCTTCTCAATTTAGCATAATGAGTCCACTTTCAAAAACAAAGATGATACCAAGTAGACAGTGTTAAGAGTTATGAGAATACAAATATGGAATTGTGATTTAAAGTGGGAGCCTTCTCTATGCAGAAGAATTTCAGTTAATAAATGAGGAAAGAATACACTAGAAAGTCACCATTTTGCAACCGCAAATATAGTAACTAAAACAGATAAGGACTGTTATTTTTAGGTGCCATCAAATCAGCTCTGGTTCATGCCAACCTTATGAATGGCAGTCCTGTGTCATCTTCATGATCATGTACAGTCCTGTGCCATCTTCTTGATCATTAAAGGATACTAAAATCATTGGGTTACTGGGTAAATAGATGTTTATATGCTTTTGACATATCAAACCACAGATTACTTTTTAATTACAAAGGGGGAAAAGTACCATTAGGATGAAGAAATCTGTCAGCTATTGCATTAATCAAATTTAATATCATTAAAGTGGGATACACACTGCTAATATATACCTTTTGATATGCTACAATAAATTCACACCTCACCAATGTAGTACTCTTGCTAAAATGTTTAACCCAAATCTAAGAAGCAATCAGAAATGTCAGGTTATGGGATGTTCTACAAAATACTGTCCTAGGTTCTTCAAAATCATCAATGACATAAATACAACCGAAGATCACTTAAGAGAATGAATAACAAAATGCAGTGTATTATTATTCACAAAATAAAAAGTAATAATCAGCCAGAAAGAACTGGAAGAAACTGAACATAAATTATAGTACATGAAGATGGTAATAATACTACACCAATGTTAAAGTGTTTGAAGGGAACTGTAATTATGTAGAAGAATGCTCTTGTTCTCAGGAAAGACATGACCAAGGATATAGACACACTATCTCATAAAGTCTATAACTTACTTTCAAAGGGTTCGCAGAAAAAGAATGTGTATGTGTGTGCATACCTTGAGATAAAACTAAACCAAATATGACAAATGTTTACATTTGGTAACTATCTATGAAGGGTATATGGGTTTTCATTTTACTTTTCTGTGAGTTTGACATTTTTAAAATAAAAGATTAGAAGATAAAAAGAAATGGAAGTTTAAATTTCCTAACTTTATTTAGGGAATCTTTACAACTCTAGTTTTCTGATTCATTCTTCATTGAGAATTGTTTCTATAAAAATCTGCAACAAAAGATACTTGCAAACATGATCAAAATATGACATAACTGCTTTATGTCATAAATGTTCTTATCATTATACACTGAGCTCTAATGACATTTGTTAGCAGTTACTAACTAATTCTAACAGACATGAGTATGTATACTACAATTACAACATAGACAAGACTTAGACCTTAAGAGTGCCTTTTATTTAAACACTTATTCAAATAATGCTTTAATTAATTTTAAGTATAATAAATTCAATTCATTCTACAAAACACTTCAACATAATATAGCAGTGTCTGAAAATCCTATTTCAGGGTCTGGAATTGAAAATTAACATTTGCTTTAAGCTAAAAAGAATAGAAACCAATTTCATAAGCAATCTTACCTTAATAGGCATTCCAGTACAGTGTAAGCCAAAAGGAAACAAACAACTTTTTCCTTTCAATCTCTGGTATCCTACTGCAAACTACAAAAAGAAAATTAAATTTAAATTATAAAGTACTAGATAAATGCAAAAGGTTGATGACTTCTCACAAAGAGCATTAGTTTAGTTTTCCTCTTCACAATTTCCTTCAAAGACCAGTTAGGTTTTAGTCATTCCAAAATACCAGCCCACTCTCTTTAATTCTGTCTTTTTACCAAAGGCATATGAATACACATACACATGACAAAACCTTTGTACACATTTATATATATATCACATGAAAACTAAATATAAATACTTAACTGCTTAATTAACTATACAAACTACATTTAAAATTTCCTAGCTCTACATTACCTTAGCAGAAAATATATTATATGGATACCACTTTCTTCAAAATAGTATTTATTAAACATAAAGGAAGCTTTACCTCACATTTGGATAAAGAAAATGTGTGTCCCAAATGAAGACGTCCATTCATATATGGATATGGGAAGGTTACAAAGTACTTGCTCCTACTGCAAAACAATCATTTAAAAAAAAGAACAGAAAATAAAAACAGTAAGTTTTTTTTTTTTTTTTTTTCACAATGAAGGGGAAGGTGGATGGGATATATAAATAACTACTTTAAATGTTGTTGTTGTTGTTGTTGTGTGCCGTGGAGTCGGTTCCGACTCATAGCGACCCTGTACAGGGTTTCTGAGGCTGTAAATCTTTACGGGAGCAGAAAGCCTCATCTTTCTCCCGCGGAACAGCTGGTAGTTTCGAACTGTTGACCTTGTGGTTTGCAGCCCGATTCGTAACCGCTACGCTACCAGAGCTCCTTGTTAGTTATTTAAAAAATATTTTAAATTAAATTAATAACTTCTGAAATGAAAAGTTCTCTAAAATGTTATCAAGAACAAGACATTTGAGGTAAGAAACAAAATATCCTTGTATTTTCCCCCTTCCCCTTCTTGTGTATCACCCTCCCCAACTATCCTTGTGTTACTAAAAAAGAAATTATTTTTTAATAACCAGACACTTTTAGGAAGCTGGACCAATTTAATATTTGACTGGTCAAATGAGATTTGCTTTCAAGTAAATATATATAAAACAATTCAAAGTCCATCAGGTAAAATAACACATCTTCACTATTATATGATATACAGCAAATCATTTAATAACATACTTTTAAATAATTGTTTATTATCTTTTTTCCTATGAATCAAAGGAATTTTATACCATGAAGTCTAATAAAGTACTACTTACTCCTTTGAATGAACCATCCAACTTATTAACATAATGAAACTAGCTGTGAGCTCCTCTTCATTCTCACCAAGGAAATCACTATCTTTACATTTGCTTTACTCATTCCCTATGCTTTTTAACGGTATAGTTTACACTTGTCTATGACCTTACACAATATACCATGTCTTTACAGTATTTTGTGAAATTTAGAGGAAAAAAAAAGTATACTTTTTTTATGTTGTTGTTAGTTGTTGTTAGTTGCTGCTGGCCATTCTTACTCATACTGACCCCTGCAATTTGTTTTTTTCACTCAACATTGTGTTTCTGAGTTTCTTCAATCTGTTGCATATGCAGCACATTCTTTTTCACTGAACAAAGGTCACTTTTTCAGTTCTACCTTTTAGGAAAAGTTCAGTTAACCAAAACTCTGGACCTAAATAAATGTTTCAGACTATAGTGTAAAATGTAACACCAGAGGCTTGTATATAACAAATTCTTTTCCTCTTAAAAAAGAATCCTTCCATTAGAGTATAGCTTAGTAGCAAGTAGGATGGACTATGGAATCAGAAAACCCTTAGAACAAGTGGAGGCCCTACCAATTCCTAGCTATGCCTCTGTAGAAAACAGATACAATATCACTGAGAAGGTTAAATGAGAATATACAAAAAATTTTGGTTTATTTTCTGTCACACAGTCAAGTATTTAATGTTGACTTCTATTATTATTTTATTACAGTATTTCCTCATTTCTAAGAAACACACTTTTCTATATTTCAAAGTACCTAAAATTGGGGTGAATCTTATAATGGCTGTATACATGCATTGTAGCAGTGGTTTTGCAGCACCTATTTTGTTTTTGTCTTTCCTCAATAAAGGTGGTCAGTATGCATGGTTTCTTTTATAATCAATGATATCTTAGCATCAAGGCAACACAGTATTATGAAACTAGATGTTCAAATACAAGTCTTACAAAATTTAGTATTTTGTGCTGGGGACAGCATACACAGACCCTGGGTTGATCAGTGGCCCTGTGACATGGACGAAAATCCAACCCCGTGGCCCTCCTCAGGACTGTGAGCCATGGACCCTGAGGGCCAAGGAAGTGACCTACTGACGTCCTGGGTTCATTGGTTTTTGCGAACTCACTGGTTAGCTACCTCTATATAGTTTTCTTTAGTCCTAATATTGTTCATTCTATGCTTCTAACTCCAGTAATTGTAGCTTCTGAGAAAATGGTTTCTTTTACAATGCCTCTCTTAATGCCTCCACTGTGTTGGCAGTGCGTGGAGTCCTGGGAACAAATCTTT